TTTACATTTTATAATGTTAGGCCTACTTTCCGACAATGCGTGTATAAAAGTTCGTAAACTTGCTGGCTCTCAGAACTGAGAATTGATTCTAAACTTAGAGGCAAAGGAAGGTGATTCGCTAAAATTTGATACAATTCAGAATTTTCTTTGTTAGAACTTGTACATTCTAATATTAGGTGTTGCAAGGTTCCTTTATTTCCACAACTGCAATGTGGATCATCTCCGTATCCAATTCTTGACTGACTCCCCCATCATAAGATGGGGGAGTCAGGACATGACCACTTCTTATTCTGCTCACGGTCTAATGTAAAGACGATTGGTAATTCCTTGAAACCAAGGTCTGCTTCGAGGAGTCTGTTGTATACTTTTCAGGTAACTTCCTGTTGGACTGATTTTGTAATGGTTATTCCATTTATTCTTTAGACGTTGTCTGATCAGAAAATGAGTGTCAGTAAAAGGAATTTCCATGCCCGGAACGCAATCGCCTCTACTTGTAGCTCTTTTTGCAAAATTATCTACCATCTCGTTTTCTTTTATACCTGAGTGGCCTTTGATCCAGACTATGTTTATAGTTTTGTCGATTCTATTCAGCTCCTGAATGCGGTTGATGATGTTCGCAATTATATGGTTAAGATCTGCAATGGGGTGACAATTCTCCAATTTTGTTACAGCTCTTCTACAGTCGGTAAAAATAACAAAATTGTTATTTCCATGGACTTGGAAACAGTATTCGATAGCTTGGTCGATCGCAACCGGTTCCGCTGTGTATACAGAATATTCAGGTGGTAACTTGAATTTTTGGTGATAGGAATTGTTGCTGTAATAAAATGAACATCCTGCTAAATTGTCTTTCTTCTAACCATCCGTGAAGATATATTCCCATCCACTCCATCGTGTTCGAATATCATGCTGGAATTTGTAAGGTGTTGATAAATCTAGTTCGGAATATTTCGTAAAGATAACTTCGGGTGGAGAGTTATATGCAGAATATTCAGGTATGTAACATGGATTGATTTGACTAGAGTGTACCTTCTTGATGGTAGGAAGAAACCACTCATAACTCTCTACGATCAGAGGAAGCCTTTTATGTTGCCAGTATTTCGCTGTTAATCCATGAATAAACAATTTGTGGATCTCGCTAATGAATTCCCTGCTGACCAGTTTAACCAGAGCTTTATCGCTCAACATTTGTCGTCTCAATTCAAGAGGAGGTTCGATACAATCGACCTCCATGACATTGATGGGAGAGCTATTCAAATATCCGATACACAGCCTATGGCACTTATTTTTGATCTGTTCTATTTTTTTAAGATGAATTCTAGATATATTTCCATAAAGTATTGATACGTGGTCCAATTTTAATCGAACTAAGGTCCTATAAAAGGTTAAGCACACTGCTGGATCTGCTCCCCATTTCCGATGTGAAAAGGACTTCAGAATGTTAAAAGAATTCTGATTTCTCTTTAAAATGTATGTAGTATGTTCTTTCCAGTTAAGTTTTTTTCTAGCAAAGCTCCTAGATTTTTTACAGTAGTTTTATAAGATATATTCTGCCCAGCCAGAGTGATGGTATTTGAAGGAGTAAGGCGAGATCTGGTAAACGTACATACACAAGATTTTGAGTATGCAATGGAAGATCCATTATTCTCAAACCATTCTTGTGCAATGGAAGTCGCTGTTTCTAGAAGTTCCATAGATTGAGATAAATTTTTGTTCTGGGTACTAATGTCATATGTAATAGTCATCTGCAAACTGATATATTTTAGCATCTCTTGAATTAAAAGCTGTTTCGAGGTCACAGGAATATATTATATACAAGATGGGACTCAATATACTCCCTTGTGCTAGTCCTTTAGATGTTGATAGTGGTCCAATAGTCTGCTCAGAGGCTCTAATGAAAATGTTTCTATTATACAGTAATAACAAATGGTTGGCAAGTTTTTTTGGAAGACCAATATTTTTAATTTTACTGTATAGTATATTCAAGTCTACATTATCATAAGCTCCCATAACGTCTAAAAATATTACAAAAGTATGCTTGTTATTTGAAAATCCGATTTGGATATCAGTTGTTAACTTTATCAGTAATTCTTGAGTAGACCGTCCTTTTCGAAATACGTTTGGGCTTCGCGTCAAGTTTTTTAAAATTAAGTAAGTTTTCGAGGTTTGGGTTTGTCTGATATAGTCTAAAACTATCCTTAAGTTTTGCTACTGCTATATTACATTCATTGCTCCACCATGGTTTTCCTTTGACATTATTTTAGTTTTCATATTTCGGAATAGAAGCTTCAGCTGACTGGTTAACATTTTTAATGAAAGTGCTATAATCTAGAACAGGTTCTACATAAGATCTATTTATACTCTCGAAACAGAACTGATCCCAGCAAGCTTCGTTTATGTTCCATTTTCTCTTTGATGCAAATGAAATTTTTTCTGGAGTAAAATTACAATTTATAAGTATAGGCAAATGATCTGAACCACATGGGTCTGGCAAAGTTCGCCATTCTAGCTGATAGTGAATTTGAGGTGATCATAATATAAGCTAATTTTGATTGATATTTTACATAAGTTGGATCTCCATTGTTAATAAAACTTAGATTACTGTCATCCAGAGCTTCCATCAGGATTTTCCAAAATACGTCATCCTGAGCACAACCCCATGAAGTGTGATGTGCATTAAAATCACCTCCTATAATACAAGGAACTAAAAAATAGTATCCATTCCTGTTTAGTGATTTTGGTTTGTGGTTTAATATATACTGATACGAATGTAATATCTGAGATTCCTTGATACTTTACTGTAGAACATACTTGCATTATTTTATTACATGGGACTAATGATATTTGAGAATATATTAAACTATTTCTCAACAGTAAAGCCACTCCTCCTTTGCCATCTGACCGGTCTTGACGGATAACGTTATAACCTTTAAATTTTACATATGTGTTCATTTTAAACCACGTTTCAGACAAAGGTGCGATGTCAACATTTTGTTCTTCTAAAAGGTGTTCCAAATTATCTTTATTTGCTATAGCCGATCTACAATTCCATTGACATATCCTCAAAAAATTCATTGTGGATTCAACGTAAATAAATTGTAAAAATTGTATTTTATGTTTTTCGTACGAACACCTTGGTAAAAGTGTAAAATGATTGAAAATATACTGTAATTTTCTTAATTCTTAAACTTATTTGTCTACATTTAATCTTTCTTTTATGAGATTAGTTATAGTGGATTTATTCAAGCTGTTGATGGTTGTTTCTCTAAAATTTGTAAGAACAAATATAACCAATTCTGAAACATGTTGGATGAACGTCTTATCTCTCCTATTAAATTCATGCACACAGTTACTGGGGTTGTTAGTGATACCCCCGGATACTTGTGGAGTATCTATTTGACTCACAATTTGTCTCCTAGCTTCTTCTGTCAAATCTGGCGAGGAAGGCGAGTTCCGTTTCAAAGGTTTAGACTACCTTTGTGTAAAGTGCTAATTCACATTTGGATGATTTATTGATGTTTGAGTGTTTGATGATTGACATGAAAGATTAGAACTATTGATTTCTTGGGGCATAGTGGGATTATTTTTTGTAACTGAAACATATGTGGTTTTTAGCACCGCATTGTTTGAGTCTCTAAAAGAAGAATTAGTCATTGCCATATGCTTTTTAATTGCCTTTTGCCTTTCAAATTCATCACATTTTGAGGTTTCAAATGAGTAGTGACTGCCACTGCAAATTAAACATTTTTGTTCTAAAGAGTAATTGTGGCATGAGCTAGTAACATGTTCTTCGTGACATTTTGCACACCTAGGCTGGCTTCTACATTGTTTACCCAAATGACCATAACGCATACAGATATGTCACAAAATTACCTTCTGTATATAATGATTTGCATCAAAAAGAACGTGATTTATAGCGACACGCTTAGGCAATTCTCGCGCTTGAAAAGTAACTACAACCTTATTAATAGGTAGATATTTAATCTCACCATTTTGATCTGATTTCCGGTGCATGCGCTTAACCGAATTTACCGAGAAAATGCAGTGAGAATAGAAAGGTTTAATCCTTTCCAACAAGTATTCGTCTGACAAGTCTTTGTCCACCGAAATAACACCCTATTGCGACCAATCGATTCAATTCTTTTAATCGTTATTGTCAACTTCAGGAATATTTTTGAGAACAGTTTCACCAACCTTAACTGGTTTTAATTTACTTGAGAAATTTGTTTCATTGTTTTCGATATAAACATGATAGGGGCCCTTATCAGTCTGCTTATGTGTTAAAAGCGGTCGATCAGCTTTTTTGGGAGATAATATTGTTGGAAGTTCTACCTGCATTACTCCTGATTGTAGATCATAGTTAATTATATTAACATTACCCACCAGAGAATTATCTTCAATAATTGCATTCATTGAACCTTCAGATTCCGTCCTTTTCTTTCCAGGGGGCAAGCTCCCTTGGGAGACACTCATATATGTTGCGGGGCTCCTGCTCAGACATGATATACCTAAAACTACTTACAGAACAGCTAAGTTCCGGCACTAATTGAATATTCAAGCTCGGAATCGACCAAAAATGTTCGTCCGTCACGTCACATTGACGTATCCTAGTGGGACTTCTTTTCGTCCGACGGCGTTGCGTAAGTATATAATCATGTCTAAAATGGCGATCCCTCGAGGGGCTTCTATTTCTTTCGATATTCTAATGCTTATTTAATCTATCACTGGCTAAAATGAAAACAGCTCTACGTATTTTATATAACACTTACTGCTTTCCTGCTGTAGAGAGGGTTTCCTATAGGTTTATCTGAAACAATAAGAGTTAATGGCGGCAAGACTCGCTAACGATGAGCACGCACCACACTAGATTGGCGAATGTCACTACCGACGTTGTTGTTGAAGTATTATGGTTGTTTTTACAGTTTTACGTCATTTTTAGCCTTGCAATCACGCAAATACTGTTCTATTAATATTTTGATGATCATTATCATAATTTCAAAATGGACTACGAAGGTGATCTTTTCATTAGCTTGGCTTCAATTTCTTCTTACTTGAAAGCTAACGTCGAAGGTAAGTGTGTTGTTAAAGGAGAGGCGCTTCTAAATGCCAAACATAAACATTTTTGCGTTGTGTTTAGAAACCAGTGCAATTAAGGATATCTACTCCACATGAGATGAAACGTGGAAATTGTTTCCAAAATAAATGCAATAATATTTGTATGAACATGCAAAGCAGGTTTTCTGGTTCATGCAACAAAATTACAGCGGTTTTGTTGAAATGTGCAAGGTAAGATTCATTTGACTACTACCCTAATATATATGTTCTATTATATGAACGACATTTATTCAATTGCTTTCCTTTATTTTGGATGTACCTCACATTTATGCATTAGAAGAACTGTCAAGTACTGATATGAAGTGCTACTGGTGTAAAAAAAGAAAATTTGTCGAAGTCGGTGTACGAAGCAAAACCAATCTTAGACACTAATTGCTATGCAGATCAGGTTGATACTGTTAAAACTTAACAGCTGGACAAGAGGAGTGTTTTCAATTATTCACTTCACTGTGTTCATCATCAAGTTAATCACTGCATTTGTAAGTTTATTTTATACACTCACATGTATATCATTATCTAACATTACTTTATTTTATAAAAAGAATGTTTTCAACAACTCCTAACACTGATAATGTTAGTGTTGGTGTAGGTATATCAGAAGATGTGGAGACCATAATAAATAAGCAGAAATCTTAGAATTTCTTAATTTGTTATGCATAAATACCACAGATTCTCTTGGTGTAAATTCATGTTGTCGAGCAGTAGCAGAAGAAATCGGCAATTTGAAACATTTTTCTGTGCAAAACAAGGCTCAGAAATTTGGCAACAATAACGACAATTCAGAATAACTGGTATGTTGTTATAATTCTCATAGATTATTTCAAGATATAGGTAGTCTAATAGTCATCTACTAGGTAAGTACATTTTTTTTAAACAAATTGTTTTAGGTTCGAGAATCTACGCGATTTATACATTTGCTCAAGCAGATTGGACAACACAGTTAAAAAACTATTTCTTGCCAAAAAAATTCACGATCAAGTACACTGAGCATGGAAAAAATATGAACGGGAAGCAATGAAAAAATATAAAAAATCCAATGGGTATAATGTTTGTGGTCTAGATTTGTTGATATGCAAACAATTTCCATGGTGTGCCTATTCACCTGATGGCATAGTTATGCAAAATCAGTTATCAACAATACTGGTGGAACTTAAGTGCCCTTATGGTGGTAAGTCCTGCAGCAATAGGTCTTTTTGATGTAATTGTAAAAATTGTAAGTATTAATTAATAACTGATGCCATCAATTTCGTTCATTCATGCCCATATCTGAATGTGAATGCAGAGACAGGACTTGCATTGACAAAGAACCATTCATATTATGCACAGATACAGTTAGAAATGGCAGCACTTCATTTAAAAATGTGTGACTTTATACCATATTCATCCAAATCAAAAACATTCCTTAACATAGTAGTACCATTTGATGAACGTTAGGCACATATTTTTATTAAAAATGTTAGTGACAAATACTTCTTAAATATGTTACATGCTATTTGTGTAAAGAGAAGTTACCAAAAATGAAACGGTAACTCCTCTTTACAACTGTATTGTGTATGTAGTTTTATTTCCTTAAATTTTTAGTAGGGTAAAGAAGTATAAATAAAAGTCGATATTTCATCATTCATTGTTTTAATTAACCCTTGATAGACATAAATAACTAAATTAGTTAAAACAATTTGAAAATATAACAAGAAATATGTATTTATTATTTGTAGAAAAGTGGATAAAGGTGTCATGTAACGTTGTTTTTTATTTTTATTTTTTGCATTAATGTTACGTTGAGTGATTCTTTCATTCTGTGATTACTTTGTTGTTCGATAGTACAATACAAGCAGAAAAGATTTAACACTTTTTACACAAAATCTAAAACTATGATTACCAAAAAAAATCAGCTTACTACCTATTTTATAAACTAATACCCTGTATCTTGTAAACTAATCAGGTGTATATTTATCTTGAAAGAGGGTGTACTATAAGCTGTTAAAAGCTCTGTTACAATAAACCTGTTTTATTGAATACAATGCCTTAGAACCTATGTTCAGCAAGAACTGGTGTTTGCAAATTGACCATAGCACAAATAATCATAACAATTTGATCAATTAGTGGTATTAGAGCATTTCCTAAAAGAGTATTTAGGATACTAAATATTCTAATCCTCTGATCTACCCGCTCTATCTGTACCCTTGCCCCTGAAATGTTTATATTTTCTTTAGACTCGCTTGTTTTTTATTCTTCAAGAAATGAGGACCAATTATTTTTACCAAATGGTCTCTATAGATGTCAACTATTAAAAATCCTATAATCAACCATTATATAATCTTGTCTTGGTTCTAGTGTGGTTATTAAATTTCTTTGAATTTGTCTCAGCTTCTGCCACCATAACTTTGTGATACAAATGTTATGTCCTGCTGGACTAACTCCAGTCATTATTTTTATTGTTTGTCTACCCTTATAGTGTGAATAAGTTCTAATTCTGCAACGTGAACATTTTGGTTTCTCAGTTGGAATTTCAAAGCAATCAAATATCACTCTAGCATTGCTAAAATTTGAGAAGCAACTAGGCATATTTTGTCGACATTCCTCAGATGAAGGCCAACAAATACAAGATTTTAGAACCGTTGATAAAAAGGAAACATACTCACTAAAAGTTCTTTTACATTTGAGGCAGATATTTTGAATAAAAATGTTAAATTTTATAGCGATTTTAAGTTACATAAAAACTAAGATTATTCTGTCCTTACAGGTAATTTATGTTGCTAGAAATCTGCAATGTTATTGCATTTAAAAGATCAAAGCTATGTATACCGGTTAAGAAGTTTAAATGATTATCTTCTTTAATAGATGACGTAGGGGTGGATTTCACAATTTAACAAACCATTATTCTGCACCAATAGGGTACGAGTACCAAACAGTCCGTTAAATATACCCAATCAGCCTCAAGATCTCTCCGTCAAATTTTTGGCAGCAAATAGCATCAAAGTATTCAAAACAAAACACTGTAAAATATGAAGAAACGGCTTGCCATTGAAATGTTTTCAGTTCATTAAATATTATGAAGTTATGTAAAACTGAGCCAAAATTTAAAAAAAATGCTTGATGTCTGAGTAAAATCCATTTTTTTCAGTTTAGCTGAAGGTTTCTCCATGTTTATTGCAACTTTTGTAATCCATATGTGATTATATCACCTACCGTGTGTTTTTAGTTTATCCTACATTTTCAAACTTGTACTTCCAAATCCTTACATGAAAAAGCATTTTCACTCAAATTTTTGTTAGGTGTTGCATTTTAACACATTCATACACTTATTTCCAGTTCCTCAACGATATTTTAACACCACTGGTCCGAAACTGTTCAACATTTTCAACATTCATACATACAATTGCAGTTGCAGTTTTTTTGTTTTGATTTCAGTGTATAATCAGTCGCACCATCGGTGCGGGTACATGGTACACTCAACATAACCACGACAGTGTAATATGTAATTCTACACAAAAAAAATCTTTGAGGGAGCACTTTTGATACGGAAATTTGTTGTTAAAAAATTCCATTTTTCACAAATAACAAAACAAGTGGCCACAAAACAGAGTACAGTGATGTTGGAGAAGGAGAATAGACCAAAGAAGATCGGAATTGACACTTGAAATTAGTGTCTCATAATGTTTGTGATGGGAGAATACATTTGCGATCAGTCGAATGTATTGGTTAAAAAATATGAATTGAATCGTTTTTAAGTTATCTCGGCTGAAAGACTGGAATATCTGCTCTGTTTCTGTGTATATATTTTTTGTGGTATTGTTGCATAAAGTAGTGTGTTCACGAACTAGTTCCTAGAACTGAACACAACTTAACGAAACGAACTAGAAAGAACATCACTATTTCAAGTAATCCAAGAAGGGACATATTGTCATTTCATCACACTAATGATGGGATAATCGAAAGCCCGAGATTCGCCTTGCTTCTGTCGCTCAGAGATATAGTGTTTCCTTCTGATAAAACTAGCGAAGTTTTTGTGTTTAAAACAATCTACCTTAGTAAGTACCTTTGATCCTAAATTTGCTCCCAAAACAACATTAAACAACTCTTATGTCGTGTCGCGTGCAGTAATCTGTAAATGAAGCATATCAGTGGTCTGTGCACTTTTGCAAAGTTGCTCGAAGAAGTTGTTTACAACCTAATAATTCCATCAGTAAAAAACATAATAATCGAAGAACAGCACGGATTTTTTCCAAACCGTTCCCTAGAATCTAATCTTTTGTGTTACACTGATTATATTTGTGAAACCCTAGATACCAAGACTCAAGTCGATTGCATATACACCGACTTCAGCAAGGCTTTTGATAAAATAAATCATGAATTGCTGGTTAAAAGGCTTGCTGAGACTGGTGTCGACGATGCACTATGTCATTGGATATGGTCTTACATTACCAATCGTAAGCAAATTGTAGCTATCAACGGTTTCAAGTCGCTGCCAGTTACGGTACAAGGAAGTCACCTAGGTCCTTCATTATTTATAATTTTTATCAACAACTTAAAGAAATCCTGTAAATATGCAAATTGTCTATTATACGCCGATGACTTGAAAATATTCCATACAGTGAGAGACATTAATGACTGTAAAGAAATCCAAAGTGATATAGATACTTTTGTCAATTTTTGTGACAATAATGTTTTTTTTCTAAATGCTGATAAATGTACTTTTATTAGACTCTCCCGGAACAAATCTCTCATAGAATACCGGTACCAAATCAAAAATACACCTTTGAAGGAAACGGATATAGTGAAGGACCTAAGTCCTCTTAGATGCAAAAATGACTTTCCAACCACACATAGAAAACTTGATTTGCGCATCAAACAAAATGTTGGGATTTATCTGTAGAATCTGCAGGGATTTCAAGAGTGCAAGAGTCATGACATCCCTATATTATGGATATATTTATAACAAGTTGAACTTTGCTTCCGTTATATGGAACCCTCAGTATGTTACATACATAAATCGACTTGAAAGTGTACAAAATAGATTCCTGAAGAGATTAAGTTTTTAAATCGGAAATCCGGTACGTGACGGAAACTATGATCATTTTAGACAACATTTCAATGTCATGACCTTAAAAAGTAGAAGAATGATGTCCGACGTGTGTCTTATATACAAAATATTCAACAATTTTGACTGTCCCTATTTGCTTTCAAAAATAGATAATAATGTGCCAGATAGAAACTACCGCCATTCCAAGTTTTTCAGGATTCCCTTCTGTAGAACGAATTTAGGAGTCAACTCACCTGTAATTAGGGCCCATAGGGTGTTTAACGATACCTCTATAAATTTGGACATTTTTGTGGTTAATTTTAACAAATTTAAAGCAACGGTAAGGAGCCAGCTTACATAGGATAGTATCATACCATCTAATTGTTTGTTTGCTGTGATACTGTTGTCAACCATTAATACTTTTATATACTTTTATACAGTATTTTATATGTTTTATTATCAAAGCTATCTAGTAGCGTGCTCTGTGTTTGTGTTTTTTGGTGACTAGTGCGATTCATGGAATAGTGTAACTGATACATGCTAATTTTTAAAAAAAATAAATTTTACATTTATATCGTTTTATAGTAATTGCTATATCATAGTATTGTTCATTCTCATATAGTAGGCTTGTGTTACAGATTTTCATATCTTCTGGATTTTGTAACCTATGTATCTTTTTATTTTATCACTATAGTAAGCAGCGGGTACTGTCTTTGGAATTCACATTCTGTTGCAAAACAAACATGCGTAAATAAATAAATAAATAAATATTTTTCGTATCTTTGTCCTTTTCCGTATTACTATGATGAATCATCGAAAAAAAAATAATAGTAAACCACGAGCAAACAGCGCGGCTGCATTCAAAGATGGAAAACGGAACAGAAGCCAGTAGACAACACCAGCCCGAGTTGCTTCAAGTTCTGTATGTTTCTACAATGAGTGAAAAACTAGTTCAAAATGCGCACAAAAGAAACGTGAATATATAAATTGGTTCTGTTATAAGAATTTGGAATATGCACCAGACCAACACTGGCTCCACTGAAAGAAAACGCGATTGATTAGCTTGGTAATATTTAACAGTTTAGACCCCATAAGGCTAATTTCAGTTGCTTCTGTTTTGGCCACGTTCTCAGTTATAATCTCATCTCACTTCAAGTTGCCTCACATGTCAGAGATTTTCCACTTTCCCCCGCGCCCCTGGAGCCTGTGGTTCTCGATACTCGCTTTCGAAAGATTTTTGACTCGCTTGACTGTTGGCTATTGTTATATATTTTCTGGAGATTTTCAAATCTTTCAAAGATTTTTCAAACCTTTGGATGTTCTAGAAATTAATCGATATCAATGAAACATTTTCACACAACACTTAAACCTGATTCCGACACATGTTTCATGCTGGTCAGATGGAATTCTTATTTGACTGTTCCTTAGTTCCCTTTGGTAC